TTTGTATATGGAGTGAGGTGGGGATCTTGTTTAATTCTTCTGCAGATAGTTTTCCAATTTTGCCAACACCATTTGTTAAAAAGGCTGTCATTTCTGATCCCTCACTGTCCCTTTTTTTCCCCACCACAGCCCACTAATGTCCCTTTTGATGGACAGTGTTCACAGTTGGTCTTGGGAAGATAGCAGTGGCCTGGCCAGGGTGGTGGGCTGTGTTGTGGCTGGCTCCCAGCCTCTCCTCCCCATGTCGAAGCAACAAAACTGGGGATGACTGGAGTGGGCACAGGGTGTGCTGAGCAACAGGGAGAGCACGTCTCAGAGGGAACATCTGCTATAAAGAACCAAGAGAGCAGACAGCCCATACATGGATAACAGGGAGCAGAAAAGTCTGCACCCAAGGGGAGAAGTAGCTGTGCAGGTAGAAACTGAAGGAATGACAAAGTCCTGAGTAGAGCCAGTCGAGGATGACATCTTGAAGGAATGGGTGTTTAGAGAAAGGCAGGGCTTGGCCAACACCAACTCCCAGAACCCCGAGTCACTGTCTTAACTCTCTTTTCAGATGACCTGGATATAGATGAGCTCCAGCTGGAGATGGAGGACTCAAAGCCACACCCCAGTGTCCAGTGTAGCCCTATTCCAGGTGAGGGGGGTGCTGGATAGGGGATCAAGACAAAGGCAGGGGTGTATCTAATCTCTTTGCCTGTGACTGCCTTAACCAGGTGGAGGGGAGGGCAGCCTGGGGAAGAGGCGGGCTTCTTGACCTTGGGTGGCTGCTTCGGGGAGCAGGGACAGTACCCTTTACAAGTCATCCCCTGAATGGCAACACAGTTAGGAAAAAACCCATCACACCGAGGACAGAAGCAGGAGCTTGAGAGCACGCAGGCCACACTCTTCTGCACGGGATCTGAGCACTGTAAGTCCGAGACTCGCCATAGAATCCTAAAGCTGGATGGAGAGGACTGTACACCCAGAGACTCCATCTCCTCCTACTCCATCCCAGAGGATTACAGTCTCTCTTTCTTTAAACTCACAATATCCCTGGCTACACCCACACACTATGATCTAATCCTGATTGCAAAGGAAACAACCTGTAGGTTCCAACTCAAATTCATCTTGTTGTGAAAAAGAAAGAAAATTACCTTTTATGAAAATCAAGCCTAAGGTGTTTAAAGTGAATAAACTCCTTTCCCTTGAATCAACAACTAAAATTCAGCTAACAGCCTTTGAGTTGGGACCGACTCGTAGCTGACCTTCCAGCACCTTTTTCGAGGCTGTAAATTGCATGGGAGGAGGTTGCTCATCTTTCCCTTTCAGAGACGTGAGTGGATTCCAACCACCAGAGGAGTGTCTCACCTTTGGTTTAGCAGTGCAACTCCCTACACACTATACCACCAGAGCCCAATATTGAATATCAAATGCTAACAAGCCCGCCCAGAAGACTACTGAACACTATATAAGCCTTGACAGGAACTGTTCAGAAGGTGTGGATGCAGTAGATAGGTTTCCTCTTCTCATTCACTCACCTCCAGTTTCTAGTTTTCTGTATTTCCCTAGTCTTTCCGCCTCACTACGTCCAAGGCCCAAAGTGTGCCTGACTTTCCACACCTGTGCTTAGCACTCAGTGACAGCGGCGCGCCCTCTAGTGACAGCGCCGGGAAAGCGCACCATCCAAATCTAGGAGGAAACAGGTGTTAAATGTTGGTTGGGTTTTTTTTTCTATTTTGGAACCCCCACATGCTTCACAAAGCCTCAGAAAGTTCAGCTCTGAAAACACGTAATGAGCAAACTTGAAGTAAAGCAGGAAATTCTGAGAGACAAAGTCCAACTTGAACTTGCTTTTAGAATAGCTCATACAAATGGTCAAATGATACAGCCATATGGTGAAGTATTCATCATGCAGCAATTGAAAACATGTTTTTGAGGAGTCTAAGGATATGGGAATACGTGCCTAGTGAAATTGTAGCTTTAATATGCGAATAAAAAACCATATGTACTAAAATCCCAATTTAGTTAAAATTCTATTTTAAAAAAACTCGAAGGAAATATATAAAAATGATCTGTTCTGAAAAGTAACGTACGAAGTTACTTTTTCCCACATTATTTTATCATTTTCCCACATTATATTGTCCAAATTTTCTATAATTTCCATCTATTATTTGGTAATCAGGAAGAATATGTTTGTAGTCAGGAAAACTATGTTTGAAAAATGGCTCCTACCAAAGCCTTTCAAGTTACTGAGTGAATGAAGGATGGGAGTTTGAAGCCAACGAAGTTAGGAAATGATATGTCCAAAGTTACAAGGTGGCTTGAGAGCAAACTTTGCTTGTGGAGAGGGATGAAAAACATGTGGCTCTCACCTATTCAGTGAGGAAACCCCCACAAGTCTCTGTGATTTGATTTACTTGGTTTACTTTCTCTCTGATTGACACTCATGAGTGTTAAATGTTCTCGATCTGCCTGTCACACAACCCCAGAGAGCCAGCCTGGTTTGACTCCTGAGCAGGTCCTATGTGAATCACTGGATGCTGGGAGGTCCAGAGCTTCAGACGACGCAGTGACTACTCTTTGAGCAGCCCCTCACTTCTGTGTTTCTACCCTTTAATTTTTCCAATCCCAATGCTCTGTCCACTCCTTTATGCTAGCCTGACTCTTCCTTTCTTCCAAATGCTGCGCCTCTGAAAAGGCATCTTTGTTTAACATTTCCTCAACGCCCAAATAGACATTATATTCATTTGCACTGTTTACATGTGTTCCTATTAAATCTGAATCAACTCAGGAGCAGATACCAGTAAGGACAGGGGGAGGAAGGCTGGCGTTTAGCCCTCCTAGAAAGGAGAGTTGTTTATGTTTCCATTGTCCCACCCTTCAAGCCCAAGTGAGAGTTCTCTGAAGGCAAAGACTGTACCCTCAAACACTGTCTGAGGGAAGAAACTGAGATTGTTTCCTGAAGTCTTCTGAGGGAGGAAGCCATGCCTGCCTCCCGCAGACTGGGAGGTGTCAGTGTGGAGGCTGGGAGGCCCTGCTGCCTCCCAAGACCCTGCAGAGCAGGTAACCCTGCACCTCTCTCCTACAGGCCCCTTCAAGCCCTGTGAGCACCTCTTTGAGAGCTGGGGCATCCGCCTGGCCGTGTGGGCCATCGTGCTGCTGTCAGTGCTGTGTAACGGGCTGGTGTTGCTGACCGTGTTTGCCAGCGGGCCAGCCCCGCTGCCTCCAGTCAAGTTTGCGGTGGGTGCGATCGCAGGTGCCAACACCTTGACTGGCCTGTCGTGCGGCCTCCTGGCCGCAGTGGATGCCCTGACCTTCGGCCAGTTCGCCGAGTACGGAGTGCGCTGGGAGACGGGGCTGGGCTGCCAGGCCACGGGCTTCCTGGCCGTGCTGGGCTCCGAGGCGTCGGTGCTGCTGCTCGCGCTGGCCGCCGTGCAGTGCAGCGTGTCCGTGTCCTGCGTGCGCGCCTACGGGAAGGCGCCCTCGCTGGGCAGCGTCCGAGCCGGGGCGCTGGGCTGCCTCGTGCTGGCGGCGCTGGCCGCCGCCCTGCCCCTCGCCTCGGTAGGAGAATATGGGGCGTCCCCGCTCTGCCTGCCCTACGCCCCGCCCGAGGGCCGGCCTGCAGCCCTGGGCTTCGCCGTGGCCCTGGTCATGATGAACTCCTTCTGCTTCCTCGTGGTGGCCGGCGCCTACATCAAACTCTACTGTGACCTGCCCCGGGGAGACTTTGAGGCCGTGTGGGACTGCGCCATGGTCAGGCATGTGGCCTGGCTCATCTTTGCCGATGGCCTCCTCTACTGCCCAGTGGCCTTTCTCAGCTTCGCCTCCATGCTGGGCCTCTTTGCCGTCACCCCGGAGGCCGTCAAGTCTGTCCTGCTCGTGGTCCTGCCCCTGCCCGCCTGCCTCAACCCACTGCTCTACCTGCTCTTCAACCCCCACTTCCGACAGGACCTGCGGAGGCTCAGGCCCCGCCCGGGGGGCCCAGGACCCCGAGCCTATGCTGCTGCTGGGGAGCTGGAGAAGAGCTCCTGTGATTCCACCCAGGCTTTGGTGGCCTACTCAGACGTGGATCTCATTCTGGAAGCTTCTGAGGCTGGACGGCCTCCTGGACTGGAGACATATGGCCTCCCCTCAGTGACCTTAATCTCCTGTCAGCAGGCAGGAGGCCCCAGACTGGAGGGTGGCCATTTGGTGGAGCCAGAGGGGACCCACTTCGGGAGCCCTGCACCCTCCATGGATGGAGAACTGCTGCTGAGGGCAGAGGGAGCTGTGCCAGGAGGCAAGGGTCTGTCGGTGGGTGGAGGCTTCAGGGCCTCTGGCTCACCCTTTGCCTCACACTTATAAATGCCCGTCCCTGTTCTCTCCTCAACTCTTCCTCTCCCTCTCTCCCTTTTCCATGAATGATAGCTGCTTGTAAAATAAACACAACCAAAAGTCAAGAGTGTGACCCATGGCAAGGTGTCCCTGTCTCTGGCTCCACTGATCTCCTCTTACATGGCCATCACCAGTGGGTGCTTCTTGACCTAATTTCCCCTTGACTTTCCTCAGCTTCAGACCCATGCTGAACTCAAGCACTGGAGATGTGGAAATCTGCCTGCTTAGGGGAGATGAAGAAAATGAAAAAGACAGTGAGTGGTGGGAGCAGGGGCAAAGGGGAGGCTGAGCAGGTCCAGGATCAGGGCACAAAGGGGAGAAGATTTAGAGAAGTGTAAGCAGGAGAAAGGCAAGTGGGCATTTCCTTTATAAATGTGTTCTGTGTTGTATCAGTCTTGGGGTTTGCTATGTGAAAAGATTTTCTATTGAAACAAGTGTTGGGACACGTTAGACATTACATCCCTTTCAAGTCATGCTAGTGTAGTTAGGCCCAGAGAATTCCTGCAGCTGTTAAACCTGTCCCCAAATTGTTTGACAACAGGTTTTGCCTTTTTGGTTGGTGTCCATGGAATACCTGATAACATTTCACCTGATTTAGCACTGCTCTCTCTCTGGCACTCATCTTCATGCTGCCTGGTGCTACCCACTGACTCCACAAGATGCCACCAAAGCCTGAAAGCCCTGGTGCTAACAACTTGACATGGGGTGAGGGAGGTACCAGAGGAAGTTCTGCCTTCCCACCCTCTGATACTACTCTGGGAAGGATAGGGAAGAGCCTGGGAAATGGTTCCCAGGCTGCAGCCCTCTGAGTTACAAAACAGTGAAAGGTCCATGTTCCCACTCCATCCCCAAGTTCAGGCGTTGGTGGAGCTTTTGCCCTCAGCAAACTCAGCACCAGAAAGAATCCAGCCAGGACACAAGGGTTCCTGCATCCTGGCTGGATTCTCACTGGCACTGTGTTACCTTCAAAGGCTTCTCCATCATATGTCCCTGCCATCTTCTGACACAGACCTGCTCTGCCCTCCTCATTGTAAGGCCAGTCTTCTCTATGAGTCAAAGTCTTTAGCCAGCAAAGAAGAGGGATATTTGTATTTTAGGATGCATTCTAGAAATCTGGGGTTCACTGGGTGCCTCAGGCCACAGATCCTTCTTTTTCTCCACCTGTGGCCTTCTACCTTATGATTTACCAAATTCCTCCAGCATTCACACACACACACACACACACACACACACACACACACACACATTCAATCTCAAATTGAAGTGAGAACCCTGACATTGTTATGGACAGAAAAGGTGATTTTTGTAGACAAAAAAAAAAAATTAATTCAAGACTCAGAAAAGGGTAGAATTTTTTCCAAGACACCCAACCTCAGTAATAATAGGATGAGGCCAGGAATCTGGAATCCTAAAATCAAACACAGTTTTCTTCCTGAATCCTAGGCATACACACACATCTACCCAGGAAAAGTCATACTTTCGTGCCTGCCATTCATCTTTTCTTCTGCCTCCCTGCTGCCTCCAGCCCCTAACAGAAATTCTGGCTCAGGCCAATGAGGCCATCTAAACCTAGATAGAGGAATATAGCAGAGTCCATGGCTGCAGAGCCCAGCTACCAGAACTCAAGATGTTTCTAAATCTCATCTGACCAGCTGTGTTTCCTTGAACCCTGAGGTTCAATGCACTGACTTTGTCCTCTCAGCTGAACCTTAGAATCCTAGCACAAGGTCATGCTCAGAGTAGGTACTCCCTAAATGATGGTGACTTTGTTTGCTGTGGTTATGTACATCAGGTCATCTGAGACACATAGAGACGCTATGCACAATAGTTCTAAACTCTTCCCTACCCTGAGCCAGTCTCAATATCTCCAACACTCCTACCCCCATTAACCCAATAACTGTCAGCTCTTCTCATTTGAGTCTTCCTCCTCTGCGCTGCCCCAGTTGGTTATTCGAGAATTCCTCACTTGGCACGTGAGTTCTCTGATCCAAGTTCTTGGACATGGTTATTTGACTGTGGCTGCAACAAACATAGCAGTGATTGAGTGGATGGTGCAGGTCCAGGTCACGCTCGGTTCTGTTGCTCATAGCTGAGTTAGAACTGACTCTACATCTAGAGCTCTGGTGACCTAGTGGTGAGACACTGTGCTGCGACCAAAGGCATGTGGTTCAAACCCTCCACTCTTTGGAAGAAGGGTGGGCCATTGCCTCCCCTTCTGCCTCTGAAAATCTGCTGGAGCGGTGACCTATGGGTAATTTCCAATCAACGACATACAACAACAACGACAGCATCTAACAACAATGTCCCAAGAGTTTATCACGAGCCCTTGATGGAAGGAGTTTTCTGTACTTCAGGGAGTGAGACTTGGTAATTACTATCTGAGAGAAGGAAGCATTGGTGGCCTGGTAGTTAAGTACTCAGCTGGTAACTGGAAGATTAGCAGTTTAAAACCACCAGGTGCTTCATGGAAGGGAGGTGCTGGCAATATGTTTCCATAAAGACTACAGCCTCAGAAACCCTAAGTGGTAGTCCTGTCCTGTCCTATCCGATTGGATTCGATCCTCCAGGGTTGCTACAAGTATGAATTGACTCAGTGCCAATGTTCTTATTTTGGGGTTTCTTTTTCTGATTTATCAGGGAAAGTTGTCTGAGCTTCCCCAGGAGTGACAAAGTTGCTGTGATAGCTGGGAGCCTCAACATTCAAGAATTGATAAAATCTTCCCCTAAACACGTTTCAAGTCCCTCATGAAGTCAGGGAGCGATGTGGAGTGAAGTTGAACAGTCAGATGTTGAAGCTTTAGCAGTTGTGGGGATTGTCCCCTCCTGGCAGCCTCTTCTCTCTAAAGGAGGCCAAGGTGTTTCCACTGCAGGCTTTAGTGGTGTCCTTGTCACCTTATCTTCAGCTCCTGAAGATCAGATATCTGCTAAGGTTGGGCCTTTTGATAAGAGAAAGAGGGAGGGGGCAAGAGCTGAGATATTTTCCATGGGTTATTTCCATTTTCCAGAAAGTCAAGTTGTGCATTGTCCCAGATTAATACTGTGCACTAAAAAGTCTTTGTTTCTAAAGGAGTTTCTAGCAAGTCAGTATGTTACCCCTTTGATTATCTCTCATATGACCAGCAGTTCTGACAGAAAACTAAGTATATCTTTGATTAAACACAAAGTCAAAAGACATTAAATGCATGTAAATGGATTTTTTTGGGTTGGCAAAACCTTCCAAAACAGTGTTCATAGGGAAGAATTCTTCCAAAGGAGCTGTAGGGGTGAAAATGTTAGAATTGCCACCTGCTGTGTGTGCCCCGGACTCTGTGCCAGCCACTGTCTCCTCACAGACCAGCTTGTGGAGAACTGTCTATAGCAAAAACATGGTCTTTAAGCACCTCTGTGTGTATCAAAAAGAAAAATCTCTTCCCTCAGTGCTGAGACTGGAAGACTGGATTAACAAAGCCTCTAGCCAGGACTTCTCCTTGACTTCCTTTCACCACTTCAAGCTTGGTTCTAATTTTCTTTTCCAGGAAGAATAAAAGTTTGAGGATTGAGGGAGCCCAAGGGGAAGAGCTAACAACAATCATAGGTCTGAGTAAATGAGGACGGTGGGAGGTAGCTAGAGTTCTTGATCCTCTGGGGCACCATCTCCTCTAACTACCTCTGCTCTGGTTAGTTGATTCTCCCACTGCCCGCCACCCAGCACCGCTTGTATCACTGCTGGTTTCCAATCCCATGCCCCCTCCAGCTGTGTGAAGTGTAAGAATTGTCAAGATGTAAATATTTGGATTCTTCTGTATAATAAAGCACCAGTGAAGTACCATGTGTGTCTCTCAGCTCCTTTCTGTTGCCGCTGGTCCTCCAGAGAAGACAGGAGCTGTGGGCTGTGGAAGACAGGCACCAACACCCTTCCTCAACCTTCCTCCTGAGTCCAGGCGCTCTTGAAGCGCAGCCGAGGAGGCTCAGGGTTGAAGTGTGAAGGCTTCAGAATCCCTTCCACTTACCCCCGTGGTCCTGTGTTGTTGTTGTTGTTGTTATGTTGTAATGTGCTGTAGAGTCACTTGCAACTCATAGCGACCCTATGTACAACAGTCCTAAACTCTGCTCTGTTCTGTGCCAATCGCACTGCTACTGATACACCCATCCAATTACCCCAGTCACTGAATCAATCCACCCCATAGAGGGTCTTCCCTTCTGACACCGTCCCTCCACCCTCCCAAGCATGATGTTCTTCTCCAAGGACCGGTCCCTCCTTACAACATGTCCGAAGTATGTCAGACAAAGTCCCAGAATCCTTGCATCCAATGAGCTGCCCGATTTAACCCTCTCCAGAGTGAATCTGTTTGTTTTCCTAGCAGTCCATGGTACATTCAATACTCTCCTCCAGCACCACAGTTCAAAGGCATCAATTCTCCTTCTGTCCTCCATAGTCATTGTCCAACTCTCTGTTGCATAACAAGTGGTTGCAAAGACCATACCCTGTATCAGATGCACCTTAGTCTCCAGAGTGACACCATTGTTCTTCAGTACCCTGGAGAGGTCCCTAAGAGCAAACTTTCCCATCGCAATACATTTTTTTATTTCCTGGCTAGTGGTGCCAAGAGTGTTGATCATGAAGCCAAGCAGGCTAAAGTTGTTAACAGTCTCAATCTCTTCACCATCCATCCTGATGCTGCCAATTGGTCCAGTGGTGAGAATCTTTGTCTTCTTGACATTGAGCCTCAATCCATACTGAAGGCTGCAGTCCTTGACCCTCTGCAGCAAGCATTTCAGGTCCTTCTCAGTTTCAGAAAGCAGGTTGTGTCATCTGCACAACACAGTCCTATGTTAGATACCCAAGTAATTTGAGGAAAGCAGTCAGTAGATTTGGCTTTGGATGATTCAAACCTTAACCACTTTCTTAACTCCACTCCTTTCCCTAAAAATTAGTCAAAATATGGACCCAAAGTGTAAAATGGTGCAACCACTGTGAAAGGCAATATGGC